AAAAAAAAAAAAAAAAAAAAAAAAAAAAAAAAAAAAAAAAAAAAAAAAAAAAAAAGGCAAACCTTGTTTATTTTCCCAGCTGTCATGTCAGCAGTATGAAACTTCTCAATTGTTTTTCATTTAATCAGGGGGAGAAAGGGGGTGAAGAATTTTTTTTTTTAATGTAAAAAAACCAAACCAACAACCAAATTTCAGAGATGCATGTTCTCGGAGTGGTTAAAAACCAACCCAAACTAGGCTTCAGGCAATGTTTTTTCAACAGCTTTAACCTCCTAGCATTGAGTAGACAGCTTTGTAGGAAACTGTAACACCAAGGTGATTATGGCAATGACTCATACTTCCCTGTAAGGCATCCAGCTATCAACACACTTGGAGAGCTATGGTTTTGTGCATGCAGGCAGGGTGTCAGTCAGTGCCCACTTGCCAGCCAGCTCTGAGCTGCTAAACTCATACCTGCTTTGACAGCAAACTGGGATATCAGTGCATTAGAGAGCAGTTGTGGTGCCCCCCAGGCTTGTGAGAGGTTTTAGAAGTGGAAGCTAGAGAAGGGGAAGTGCAAGGCAGGTTTACCTTCCCTTTTATTTGCTTAATCCTCATATAACTTCTTTGAAGAGTCTCCTGAAACCTTCCTGTGAGCAGGTGTTTGGGTGATAGTTAAACCACTAGGAGAGGTAGCATGGGAAGTGAAAAGGGCTGTCTCAGTTTAAAACAATTTGGAGGGATGGAGACCTCGGACAGGTCTCCTTCCTTGGATTCAGTACCCTTGTTTATGCCAACAGAGAGAGAGAGAAAAAGGGAGCAAATAGCTCTTAATTCAAATTAGAAGAATGCTAATAACAATACTGCTAAAACTGGTTTAAACCAGCTAACGAGGAGAAACTTGCCAAGCCCTATCCATTGGACCAAATCAAAATGGCAGCTGGCTTCCCCCACCCAGAAAAAACACTTCTGACCACAAGACAGAGATATAGGATGGCCACCCTTCCATGTGGTTCCCTTCTCTCAGGCTTGGAAAACCTGGCAGGAACAGTTGAAGAGTCAGTGCTAGCAGGAAATAGCAGATAGCTATGAGTTGGTACCTGCAGATGCTTGGGTGGGGCTGGAGTGAGGCTGCAGTGCTGGTGCGGGCAGTTGGAGCAGGGCTGTGGACTCCCCAGGTGACTGGAAGGACCTGCAAGACACTGGTTGGATCCAGCAACGAAACTTGGTTGTTGCAATTTCGATGTTTGTCTGTTGAAGTGGTGGTTGTCAGAGTGGAAGTCACAGTCCGGATCTGTGAACTGCAGATCTGGTGGTGGAAGGCACACGTGGGTGAGGGAAGCCATGAGGTGAGGGTTTTTACACTAGATGATGGGATACTTGGAGAGTCTTTGATACCTTCTAAGATGATGCAGCTTGTCTTGTGTCAGTGTGAGTCCATTATGGCCTATTGTGGCTCATCAACAAGAGATGAATACTTTCAGGCTGGATGTGAATGTTGCAGGGAGTTACCATAGTTGAGTGAGTCATCCGTGTAAGGGAAAGGAAACATTACCCGACCTTGCAGGGTTTGTCTTGTTTAGTACCCAGCTTGTAGCCTGAGGTGGTAGATGTGCAGTCTTCAGCCCCTGTCCTGGGAGGCCCCTTTGCACACCATTGGCAAAGCACACTGATTGAACCATGAGCACCAACAGTCCAGTCTCTTAAAGCACCTGAGCAGTCACTGCAGGTGGTTGAATGTTTGAGTCATTAATCACAGCAGTTCAGCCTCTTTAAAGATGGCAAAACCCCAAAAAGCCAAAAAGGCTATTTGGAGAAAAAAGAAAAGGAAAGGTGGATACCAGAATCTTTGTGTAACGCAGGACAGGCTGCTACTATCATATCTTGCCAAAACTTTGTGCTGGTCTTTATGGAAAGAAGATTGTCAACTGGGATCCTAAGGAAGACAATAAATACTTGGGAAAGAGACTGGGGTATCCCTATAGGCAGCTCAGGTTAGAGCTGAGGGTACAGCAGATGAGATGTTGGGATTTGCAGGAAACAAGAGGACAGAAGAAGGGGACCCATTGATGTGCATTGTGGGTTTCCCCATTTCCAAAAATAAGGCGGAAACTAAGCTGTCTTCAGAGAATGGAAACAGTAGTGATCATGATATGGAGGAAATGGTCGGGGTGAGAAATTGGGAGGTTGGCATTGTTCGAATTAAGAGACTAACAAGGAGTGCCACACTTACACAAAATGGGATGCATACTAATAGAATTTTCAGAAATTAGTATTTAGAAAGATGACAAATTCAAATTTCTGAAAGGACTTAGGTTTTCATGTAGTGTGCAACTAGTTGTGAGATGCATGGAATGCAATTGTCAGCTGTGCTGGATGTCATCAGGAAGGAACAAAAGGTGGCTTTGGGAGGGTGCAGGTATGCTCTTGTAGGTGATATCCACAGATGATATAAGGAATGCTTTAAAAAACAAATAGCTGGTGATATAAAGCTGGCCACATGTGTGGTTTAACTACTGAGGCCAATCTTGATAGGTTGTTTGGGTTCCTCTGTCCTTGATGATAAGTTTCTTGTGTCTCTGACTAAAATTGTCTAATACCAAATACTGTTTGTGACAGTGTACTGGGCAAGTTGGGCTGTTGTGACTCAGTATTGCCCTTCCCGTGTGGGTTGTGTTTGGCTTTGCACATCTTATGTTTTTAGAGGTGAGGGAGAGTGAGTAATGTTTCAGTTTCATTAAAAAAAATGGAATGGCAAAGACCCTTAATTTTTTTAAAAGATGTATGTGTTTCATTTAAAGCTTCCTCCAGGCAAAGTCAGCTTTGGTAGGTAGCTTAAAATGCCTTACAGACCATATTGTTATTGTCATTAAAAAAAAAATAGACCATGCTCTGCTCTGGGAAACCAAACAAAACCACTATTTTTTTTCTCCCTCCTTTTTTTCACTTCCTTCAGTTTTTAATAAGCGACCGTGACAGAGACCCTCAGTGTAACCTGCATTGCTCCAGGTCCCAGTCCAAACCCCTGTGTGCCTCTGATGGCAGAACATACGAGTCCATGTGCGACTACCAGAGAGCCAAATGCCGTGAGTCAAGTCTGAGCGTGACACATCGTGGCCGGTGCAAAGGTAGGTGGACTTCAAATACCTCTGAGAGGAGGATTGGGAACCCTACCTTGTAAGAAACTGAATTCTTAGACCCTTGAGCTTAGTACCATGCTCTGTGAGTAATCTGAATTGAAATTGGGCATTCATGTGAGGATGGGTATCCAAGTCTGAATTTAGGCAGCAGAGTAAGAGCTGGCTGAATTATCAGTGGAAGGAGGCAAAGGAGACACGAGCATCACTGAAAAAGGGCTGAAACGTGTCTGCAGGCAGAAGCAACTGGCTTCATGGAAGTACAAAATCAAATCCTGAAAGCAGACTTCTTCCTTGCTACCTGTGCTGGTGAGGAACTGAGATATATTTGACTGATAGGAATATGGGGAAGAATGTGTGATGCACACTAAATGTCTAAACCCTCTTCAGACATACACAGCCTTTCTGTGCTGAGCTAATTAAGACAGTGCATGCAAGGCTTTACTTGGCTTTTTTTTACCTATTTACTGTTGTGCATCTACCTAGAAGTGCAAATACTGTCCCTTAGTTCAGCTCTTCAGCGTAATCTAAAGATGTTGAAACTTTTTAAAGGAGTATTAGTGTCTTGTCACACAAATGGTTTGCTTCTGCAGTGAAGTGAAGAATCAAGTAGAGTCCATCTGAGAGCACAATTGACTCAGAGGGCAGATGGCACAGATGTTTTTAGCACTGGGTTAAAGTGACAGAAGAAATTCATTAAAATCCATGTGAAAGGATAAAGGGGCATACATTTAAGCCTGGCTTTTGGTTATGAAGGCTTTTTTACTGTTTTAAAAATCTGTCTTTGGAATTACTTGTTCTAAAATGGAAATCCCTTTTTAATGTATTAACAGACTTCAGGTGAATTATGAACGTGACATCAAATATTGCTCTCTTATAAACAGTTTCTCGTTGGAAAAAAGCTTACTTGTATGATTTTTTTTTTTTTTTGTCACAGCTGCTGGTTTGGTTTATGGCACCTTCTCACATAGCATAGATAAAGGCCTTTGAATTAGGCTGCTTTCTGAGTACTGGAAATTCAGAAGCTGTCTTCCCAGTGCACAAGAAGCAGTTAGACTGTTCTTGCAAGTGATACCTTTTTGAGTATCACAGTAAGAAGCTGTTCAGTGGGACTCCTGGTTTTGCTTTCATTCCCTTGAACAGAGTGGCTTAGTTAAGCAACTCTGTGTCTGATGTTGGTATATAAACTGGCACTGTTCAGATGCTTAAAACATGAGATCTGAAATGTGGAACGTCCATGCTAAAGGAAGGTATTACTAACAGGGTTCGAGCACCTTCTACTGTAGTAGGGCACCACATTTACCCTGAGCAACCTTTATTCTTCCTGCATGACAGATGCTCTACAGGACAACTCCCACAGAACTGTAAGGGATCCCGTGAGCCACTGATCTCAGTCACATGAAGTTGTGATAGATACTGTATCCAGGAACTTACCCTTATGAAGTGAGCATTTATAACTTCCTTCTCTAAGGGGGGAAAACAACAGGTAGCTGAAATAAGTAAAAGTATATTGGGGACAACAAGGCATGGTTCTGCCCCCCAGATTACCATAGGCTTCCAATGCCATATGCCAATGACTCGAACTGTGCTTGTGCCAAGGAAAATAGAACAGTTTCCATAGTCAGAACAGAACCTTTTTGATTTAACTTGATGCTCTGCTCTCTCTCAAAAAATTAAGGACCATTAAAGATGAAATCTTGCCAGCTCTTTGGGAACTATAACCCTTATTTAGCCCTCATTTTTTTTTGCTAGCTTTCTCACCTGCTTTCCAATGAATTTTGTTCAGTGCTAAATTACCTGAGCTCTTTCCAAACCCTCGCTCACACTTCTCAAAGGGTTAGAAGTTAGGAGTAGCTTAAAGTGATCAAACTATGGCATCCATGACAAATGGAGCCTCACTGATGACACTGTATAGGATATTCTGGATGGTATAGCTCTGTGTAAAATACACAGCCAAGCAATCCTACCTGCATCTTTTGTCAGGAGACATCATAAGATCTGATGTAAAATAAGAGTTATACCTCTAAACTTTGCAAGGATGAAGGATGAATACTTGTTAATCTTCACAGTTGGCCAAGACTCATTTGTGCAGTGACTGTTATATTGGATATCTGTAACTTAAAACACATTTAAGTTCTGTGTTAACTGCTTGATTTCTAGGAACCTGTTTGACTTAATTACAAAAAAATGCAATGTTGGACTGTTCAAAAACCTTCCCTTTAGATTTATAATAGAAAGTCTGCTGGTACAGAGCTTGGTCTTAAATCACAAGTCACTATGAAGAGTGAACCTATCTGTAAATTACTGGTGGAAATTGTAATGGGTCTTCAGCTTTTATCCTGGGACACAGGAGATGAATGCAACTTTTGGCTAATGTTCTGGAAAGACAGGTATCCTCCTGACTGATAGGTTGTTTGAAGATAACCTTTCTCCTCTATCTACTATTTTCATTGGATGGGAGATGACATTTAGAAATCACTTATAATCTGCTTGCTAGATCCATGTATTTTGTCTTTGAACTTACTTTATTATCCCTTGACTATGAATAAAAGTGTACTTCATTGGCAACAGTTAGTCAGTAAAATTTAAAATGTCACTTTCAATCACTTTGTAAATTTAAGCATGTTTTCGTGTGTACTCTGAATAAATTAGGGAACTCTGGAGTAGAAAGGGTATGTAGGTATCAAAGAAGGAGCAAAGAACATCATTATGAAAGGCAGAAAAGGGGGTGGTTAGAAGTAGTCAGCATGGTTAGGGAAATCATGCTTAACCAACCAGGTTGCCTTCTACAGTTGGACAACAGGCTGGATAGATGAGGCAAGAGTAGTGGGTGTCGTCTACCTGGACTTCAGCAAGGCTTTTGACACTCAGGAAGTGTGGACTGGATGTGTGGACAGTGAGGTGGTTTGAGAACTGGCTGAACAGCAGATCCCAGAGGGTCATAATCAGTGATACAGAGTCTGCTGGAGGCTTGTCATTGGTGGTGTCCCCCAAGGATCGATACTGGCCTCAGGATTGTTTAACCTATTCATCAATGACTTCTATAAAGGGACAGAGTGCCTCCAGCAAGTTTGCTGATGACACAAAACCGGGAGGAGTGGCTGATACCCCAGAATGCTGTGCAGCTCTTCAGAAAGATCTTGACTTGTTGCAGGTTGAAGGGATGGGGAGAATGGAACCTTTTGAAATTCAACAAAGTATGGGGTCCTGCTCCTGAGGAAGATAATCCTATGCACCAGTACAGGCTGAGGGCTGACATGCTGAAAAGCAGCTCTGCAGAGAAGGACCTGGAGGGTCCTGGTAAGCAAGAAGCTGTCCATGAGCCAGCAGTGTGCCCTTGTGGCCAAGAAGGCCAATGGTGTCCTGAGATGCATTAGGAAGAGCACTGCCAGCAGGTCAAGGGAGGTGACCCTACCTGTCTACTCAGCCCTGTTGAGGCCACATATATCGAGTGCTGTGTCCAGTTCTGAGCTCCCCAGTTTAAGAAAGATGTGGAGCTCCTAGGATGAATCCAGAGGAGGGCTGTGAAGATGATTAGGTAACTGAAGCATCTCACTTGTGAGGAAAGGCTGAGAGAGCTGAGCCTGTTTATCCTGGAGAAGATATGAGTGAGAGGGTGTCAAGAGAATGGAGCCAAGTTCTTCTTGGTGTGGTGCCAAGCAATAGGACAAGAGGCAATGGGCAGAAACTGGAACCCAGGAAGTTCCACCTGAACATGAGAAAGAAGATGTTTACTGTGAAAGTAATTGAACACTGGAACATTTGCCTGGAGACATTTTACAGTCTCCTTCCCTGGACATATCAAAAAGCCATCTGGACACAATCCTGAGTAGTGTACTCCAAGGGACCTTGCCTGAGGTTGGACCGGATGACCTCCAGTTGTGACCTTCACAACCTAAACCATGCTGTGTGTGTGAGAGAAGTTGGAGATTCCAGGTGTAGGACTCTGACGGTGAGGAAAGTGAGGAATTATTGATATCCTGTAGAAGAGATGAGCATGGTTTTGCAGTTTGCTCAGATTCCATTTTTGCTTGTTTTATGCAAAGACACAGATAATTGGCTGAAGTAAATGGGTATGAATCTGCTGACCTTATTGTAACTGGACTGCTTCTTGCCTGCTGGGGACCTGGCCTACATGTGAGACAGTTACCTAATGGAACTAGAAATAGTTAATAAGCAGCTTGGATAAATTTTTGCCCTTCGAGCTTTTGATACAAACATAGTAGAATTAAAATTAAATAGATAGTTTAAATAGATAAATTTCTGTGGTTGCATTGTGTCAATTTGCTGCTAGCATTATGTGGATGCCTGGAGATGTTTTACTTGGTGTTACTAGGATAGCTTGGGTCTTTATACTATGATGAGTGATGTCAGTACTGCTTCTGCCTCTGCCTGTTGAAGAGAGGATGCTGGAATCCTATTCAGAATTGCACTGTGTATATTAGGAGGGACACAGTGGTCCTGTTTGAATAAACTGTTCGTGGATAAGATCAACTATGGTAACTAGCCAACTTCATTGCAAAATTGAAAATTATGTGCATCTGTGTTCTGCAGACTAGGCCAGGGATATCGAAAACATAACTTGTAGTTAAAAGTCTCCTAGTTGCCAGCTGCCAGGTTGAGAATTAATTTTATTCCAGCTTTCTTAGCTACAGTAAATCTGTCCCAAGTTTGAAGATAAAGTAAAATTAAACAGGTCTGCTTTCAAAGAAAGTAATCCTGTGTTGGTTTTTCACCTAATATAATGGAGGGAAGAACGTCCAATTTAGTCTGTCTGGACCATGAAACTGGAATGCATTAATGCCATTCTTTTTTATAAGCATGGTATTTGATATTCCAGAGAACATTTATAAAAATGGGAAAGTAAAAAATGCTGAAACACTTGACATAAGCAGCCAAAATGCAGAATAGGGTATATGAAGCTACCATCATCAGATCAGGCTTTAGTAAAAGCATCTTATTTGAGGTGATCTATTTGGCAGCTACTTTTTAACACTTGGCACTTATATAATATTTTACATTTTCTAATTAACAAAGCAAAAATAGTAAGGTGAAATCATCCCACTGAAATTGCATGTTGATGCAAACATTATAAACGTACTAACCTGTAGAGTGAGGAAGAGAAGGATTGACAGTCCTTCTAAAAACAAACTGGAAAATGTTGATATTAAAGGCCCTGTTTTTACTGGAACTGAGCTGTGGAAGATGGATAAGAAAGATAGCTATACGCACATATCTCTCCACTCAATGTGGTATATAGGTGGTTGTTCCAAATCAAAGGTGTAAAAAGACTGGCATAACCTTTGGAAATCAATGAGGGAGGGATGGGAAAAGTAATCAGTCCAGAGTGCTCATTTACAGGAGAAAAATTGTCTGTCTTTCTACTTCTACAGCGATTTGTGACCATCACTTGAGCCAAGGGTTGAATTGCAAAGGAGCAACAATGAGCTCTTAACTGCTGTGGTGTAGTGGTGGTATGCTATGAAGTGTGATCTGCTGGGTGGTAGTAGAGAGTTTAGTCTAAAAATGTCAGTTAAAATTGTCAGGAGAGCCACAGTTACCTTAGCAGTAACGTGTTTATATTATCTTTTTTTACAGGGAGGGCTTGATCATGTGCACGTTTCTCTGTGCATTAGACAAATTGGTCAAAGATCTCAGTCTCCCCTCTGCCTGGACTCCTAATGTATTTGCACTACAGGAGATATCACAAAAAGATTGTTCTTACCAGCTCTGCGCTGAAACATCCAGTTTCAGTCATGTAGTTGTGAGTGTGCCAGCACTGAAGTAGATGCTTTGTGGAAGTGCTTTATGCTTGGGTTTTATGTTCAGGAGAGGAGCGAGGTATGCCTGTCTGCAGTCTTGTATCCTCAGATGGAGAAACTACAAAACATTTTCATTTGGAAACTTGTGCTTTGGTTATCACGTAAGAAATTAATGAATTCTTTTCTTACAAAGTGCGCATCTGCATAATCTATGCTGATTTTTTTTTTTTTTTGTAATGCTACTTAGTTGTCTCCTGTGAAGCAGAAGTTGAAAGTGTTTTCAGTAGAGCAGCTAGCTGCGAAACAGAAGGTGCAGTCACATCTGGCTTTGTAATAATATCCTCTGTAATGCCAAGCTAGATTACTCTTAAGCTTGAATGGGAGATCTGTAGGTGATAGGTATTACAATTAGCAGCATTGCCTGTGCTTCCTTTTCAGCTGAAAGAGCACGTGTTTGGAAGGGTCAGTTTGCAGGACTGTCCTCCACTGGAGATGTGCAAACAAGGTCTGTTCATCTGGTCACTTTGGCAAGCAGTGGAAAAGGCAATTCCATGTCAGAGCTTATATAATGGATAACGAGAAAAATAAGTACTGCTTCTCTAAATACAGTGTAAATTCTGTTCAAGTCTTTTCATTCTGTAACAATCTTGCTCTTAGTTCAGATACTTAATAGGTTCACCTGAGATCAAAGCTCCATATGCTAAGGGTATTTTGCAAACACCCCCCAAACAAATTAGTCCAAAGATGAGTGATGTAGGATCAGAAGTGACATGAGGTCACAGGGGGTGAAGTGACCAACTTGTGGTCACTCAGTAGGCAGTGGCAGAGTTGATATAGGCACTATTGCTTTCTAACCCAGTCCCTATGTGACTGGCATCTGTGGGACTATTGCTATGAACCCTTACTTTTTTTCAGAGAGAAGGGTTTGATTTTCATAATTTTGTAAACCTTGTGAAATCCTTCTTGGGGAGTAATGTGATATGTTTAAAATGAAACTGTATTGGCACACCAGAAACTTAGTCTCTTGAGTCATGAGTAAATAAAACATGTAGCTTGAAAGTTTTGGTCTATGCATTTATCAAAACTATTTACAGCATTGTAATTGATTTCTATATCTAATTATGCTTAGATGGAAGTTTGCTTATATTGCCATGCAATATAAATTGAGTTGATCTAAGAACCCAGACTGACTTTCTAGTTAAGTGCTGATACTAGTGATTCTGTTGTTGAAGTTCATGTGATCTGTGAAGCAGAATATGTCAAGTTCAGGGATCCAGTGGGATTTTTCGCTAACCAATATGATTTCCATGCTTGCAATGGGAATTCAGTCTTGATCACTCTTTATGGTGCTGCTGAAAGATTCTGGTGATCAAATTTTAGTTTGTGCACTGAAAGTCTTTGGTCAGTGGATTCATGGGAAAAGGAAGAAGGTGCTAGTCCCTGTGTCAGAGTGCCATGGAAACAGATGTTTGCTCTTTTCCTTCGCTTTCTAGACTGAACAGCAGTATTGTTGGACCTTATGTTTTTAAATGTAAACAATTGAGTCAATCTGTATCCTCTGCAGGTCAGAACTCTCCTCTGACCTGCAATCATCAGTGTTGAACTTATCTGGGTATACAGTGAGCTAGCCCTGGAAGGGGTTAAGGTCATCATGCTACACACTGCCATCATCTGAAGTAAGAGCTGAGATCTTAACCCCTTCAAATTCTGCTTGCAGAGCAATGTTTTTTCTTGGCATCAAAGTGAGTAACTGATACGAAGAAGTTACAATGAACACCTGGCTTTAAGCATTGGGACTGGAGGCAGAAGCTGACTTTCAGGAAAACACAGGAAACTGCATGTCTGCCTTACCTGAACCACACAAAGGTGCAAGTTCAAATGGATGACTGGGTGTTTTAGCATCTTACTGGGAGAGTTGCTCAGAGAAGAATTTTTGATAGGGCCATCCCTTCTTCCACATTGCTCTCTTCTGGGCCTGAATTCTTCCTTTATACTCAGCCATCGAGTTTCAGGCTGTTAATGCTAACGCAAACACAACTCCCTGCACAGACATTATGATCCAGCACTTGTTGAAGGAAGCTACCAGAGTCCTTAGATGACCATAAAAACTATTGACTAGGAAAATAGGAAGCTTTTCTTTAACTGGGTTATAGTATGATTATCTAGGTTCATATTTGTCTTTGGCATCATGAGTGCTAACTTGATATCTACTTTGTGAATGTGCAGCTAATGGTCCTATATGCTTTATACTTATTTGTTTGGAGTTTTTCCCCCCCCCAGCTGCTAGGTGCATCTAATAGCTTTTGGAGGGGCCAAATGATTGCAATGTAAGTGGGTTTTGTGTTTCTCTTCATAGATGCTGGCCAAAGCAAGTGTCGATTAGAGAGAGCTCAAGCACTGGAACAGGCAAAGAAGCCCCAGGAAGCAGTCTTCATCCCAGAATGCAATGAGGATGGATCATTCACTCAGGTAAAATTTCTATTTGCTTCTTTCAGACAGGCTTCAGGTGTCTGTGGGAGATCCATTGTTAAGCCATGAGCCAAGTGATGATAGCAGCGTGGGTGCACACCCTGACTCAGTTATTCAGGTGGAAATATTGAAAGCTGGAGACATCTTTAACCAAATGGAAGACTTGATTCAGTCACAATATCTTAAAGATAAATAGAGATGCAGTAACATACAGTTCGAATGTAGTACAGAAACAAATGGCATTAACCTTCAGCATTGTGTAGAAACAAAAACAGTTGCAGGGGAGGTAAATTTTTCCGTGAAGAGGAGCTGTAAAGGGACCTGTGGCTTAGACAGAACAGGGTGGATCCAGCTGATTCTGCTGTTACCTGTATGTACTTCATCTATCCCAGCAAAAAAATAATCTATTCAGCTTCTTCCTTTCTCGGGGTTCTTCTGGTACTGTGCCCTTTTGTAGTTTGGAGTCTGGCAGAGACATGATGAGACTGCTTTGTTTGGTTTTTTGACTCTTTACTGTTCACTCACTGAAGTTTGCCAAAGCACGGTAGAAATAAAGACTGAATCTTGCTTTTGTTATTGCTAGCATATTGAGTAGTGTCCCAGGGCTAACTGGCTGTTAAAAATGGCTCATGCAGAATTTCCTGACAGGTAGGAGAAGTATACTGTCTGCTCAGCTTTGCACGGATCTCAAAAGCCAAAACTGCAGCCCTATGACCTCTACTTTATGAATCTAGGTAAATCACAGAATTTTTTTGCCTTAGCTTCCATGTATCTAGCACTGCTCTAGACATCTTGTTCCTCAGAGAAATTTTAGGATACAGAAGTTATTGTTTGCGAAGTCTTTTGAAGGTAAAAGATATTCCAAAATAGAATCAATATTGGCTTAAAAACGATGAGAAAGGCAAAGAGCTTTGGGTTTGGTTCAAACATTTTGTGATGCCTGGGGGAACAGGAGAGTAAAGATTTTTTTTGTGATAACCCACCAAAAATTTTTATTCTCCTCCACAGCCTTACCCTCCCATTATCTGCTGCGTGGGAGTGTTTTGCTTTTAATGGGGAAGTGGGATTATCTATCCTGCCATCTTTGCATATTACTTTGGAGCAGCATCATATTTGTGTACAGTGTGGACCATCATAGGAAGGTGGGGGTAAGAGAAGATGGCTGCAGTTTCTTGCAGTTTAAGTACCCTTTCAGTTGTTGAAATTTGATTTTGTGTAGAGCTGCTCAGGTTATGTTGGCACTGGAGGTAAATACTTATAAAACCTAGCGCTGTGGGCCAACAAAGTGTTCCACGTTAAACTTCATAGTTCAAGAAAAAAGGAGGAAGGAAAGCTGACTTTCAAATGTCTATCACCTGTCTATCAACCTCTTGGAGACTAAAGTAGAGAGTGCAGGTGAATTTTTTATCCTAATAAGCTAGACTGATAGTGTAGTTGATAAAGCTGTTTCATACAGATTTATTTTGGAGGTTGGTACCAGTGTCTGGATTGTGAGCAGTTGCTGGACTTCTTTTCTGCACATTCTTTGGCTATTATTGGTTGCCAGTTGAGGGGCAGCAGGAAGCGGTTTAAAAAAATTGTGTTTTCAGTTGGCAGTCAAGCAATATTTCACATTCTTCCTCCATTCAGTTCTATCTGTGAACACTAAAGTGCTTTTGTTTTACCTGGCAGGATGAAGGAAGCCTGTGATCTCTTTGTAGCTGGAATTAACTGAAATTCATATCATTCCTTGGATTGTGAAAATACCCTACATTGCACATACCTCATGAACCAGCTTCATCAGTTATATTGCAACATTGAAGGTCATTTTCCCTGCATAAGATTTAAATGAACAAATAATGTCCAAGAATGCTAACTAGTTTCAACCTGCATTTGAGGCAAATATTTCCTTTAGCTCCTGGTCCAAATTAATTAAACTTTGATTTTTAAAAGGATGTATAAAAATTAGAATTTTGTTGAACAGTCAAAAGAGTTTTGCTTCTAGCAACTCATGAATAGCTCTCATCTGGTGGAGGTGGTTTGGATACTGCATCTCTTGTGCAGAGAATTGATGCTCCTGGGTTCTGCTCTACAGAGAGGCCGTATTCTTCAAGTCCCTGAGGCCTTACTGAAGTCAGCTCTGGACTGTTAGTTTATTCTGGTTTTGTTACCCAGAGTGCTGCTCCATCCAGACTCCAGAATCTCAGTTGGGAAATCAACAACAGAGCAGCATCTCTCAACAAAGTTTCTAGGAGAAATACCCACCCTGATCTTCAACATGGAATCCCTATCTCTACAAGAGCTTAAGCAGAGGCACATGCTATAGCATAACCCCTATATGTAGAGAAGGTTGGGGAAATGTTTTTAACAACTTCCTCCTTTCTCTTCTGTGTAACTGTAATTGAAAAAGTGCTTTCTGTAAAAGAAGATTCTGATCAGAGGGGAAACAAAGATGCATGCATATATTTAGAATATCAAATGTCTAAATTTTTACAGCACTCACTCAAGATGTGGATGACTTGCTTTCAGGTCTTGTGGAGCCTGCTGAATATAGTAGATGTTCAGGCCCACTTTATTGTCCTTACCACCAGAGTTAAAAAGATCTGAATTTTTATCTAATCTTTATCTAATTAATTAATTGAAATTTTTATAGGAGTGAAAAACATGAGTAGTGCAGATGTGGAAGCATTTGGTTGTGGTAACTGTTCAGAAAACATGCTTGGCCTTAACCAGATTGAATGGTTGCTTTTGTAGTTTATCATCATTCTCTTTATTAGCAACTGAATTGCAGTCACTATGGGTAAACACTGAAAGCAGCACTAAGTGAGGCTGTTCCTCTGAAAGCAGCTCAAGTTTGCCCTTTCCAGCTCTTGGCATTTTATGTAGTTGAAAACTAAATTTGGGGGGCTGGATCCACTGCGAGTTGGCTGGGGCTGTAGGGTGGTGATGAGAACGTAGCTGCTCTGCTGTCCTATGAGCAGCAGCAAGTGCTGCATGGGGCAGCAGCTGCAGAGGGAAGACTGTGCACACCTTATCAGGTCCTGCTTCCCTGCAGGGCAGCTGGCTCTGACACACAACACTTAGACTGGTAACCAGGGGTGAAAGGGAGGAGAGACTGAAGTCAAAGACCTAGATTTGGCATTTAAACCCTCCCTTAGAGAAACATTATATGTGCTGTAAACACTTGTGTAATCTGTCTTTTTTTTCATTGTATGTGAAATCTAGACCAAAATGAGTATTGCCATTAGTTCTGTTGCTTGGTTGGCCAGTTTTCCTGTGCATGACTAGTTATGTGTTTTGTGTACTGCATTAAGAGGAGCAGGCACTTGTCAGTTCACTGGTGGTTGTAACTCCTATGCACCAAGTGTGCTGCTTCCCTTTTTTTTGAGTTTTTGTATTGCAAAGATCTTATCAAATCCCTTTTTGGTGCTGTTTACACATCTAAAAACGTGACATGAATTTGCAGCGTGAAGGGGTGGTGGTGGCATTGCAGGTGTGAAGGGATGACTGTAAATGGCAGCAGACCTGATTAATTGCTCTGGAATTGCTATTTTTTTATATTTCAGTCTGTGTGGAGAATATTGCTTCTTATAATAAAAGCTCTCTGCACTTAGCCCACAGTAATATAAGCAGGCAGATAGAATTTGAGTTATTCACAACATAAGAATGTTTGTTAGATATGAGTAATTTGATTAATTGTAAAAAACTGAGGTCACATAATTTTGTGCTAAATTGGACATGACTAAATCCAGTTTCTGTTCCCAAGACTTTTGCCTTTTTGCTGTTATGCTCTATTTTGCATAAATGCCATTCCCTTTCCATGCTGCACTTAACCTGCTGTGATCTGTTCTTCATAAACAACAGGCTCTAGTGGGTAATCTGCACACTTTCTTTTGCTGCCTAGTGCCATTGGGCTTGTTGCCATGGGCTGAGAGACTTGCATTCTTCATAGTTTTCCCCCAAGCAGTTTTTTAGAAAAGGTTGCTGAGGTTTTAAATGGGATCTGTTTCAGACAGATTAATATGAACATGAATAATGTTAATCCTGCCTTGGGGGTGTAGTTTTGTGGAACTTTGTGGTATGTCTTGCTATTTGCTGCCACCTTACACAGTCTAGCTGTGGCTTCTTTTTCTCACAAGTCATCATACAAGTGGCTGAGAGCAAGTCTCCTTGGAGAGTTTGAGTTTAGGGTTCCCAAAATGCAGCTGCTGGTGCAGTTATGATGCAGCACTGGGATTTATTTTAAAGCGAGTGCATCAATCAAACTTGTCATCTTATGACAGGATCATTGAGTGGGCTATCAGAGCAGTTCTCTATTATCAGATAGCTTCAAGAGCACTCCCACATCTGGTAATATAAGTCTGTTTGGATGGAGTGATCTATATTGTGGTCTGTAGCAATAGTTTAATTCTGCACTATGCTAATGCACATACAAAGTTCTGTTTTCTCCTGAGTTCCACAAACAGACCCTTTCTAAAGACTTGGGGAACTCTTTCAGTCTTCAAACTTCATGATCCAAGTCTGTTCCTCTGCACTGACTAGTGTAGCATGATGCTGGGCAGAACTACAAAAGCTAATTTCTTAACGCAGCAAGACACTGTGTAGACATGTCCCACATTCTCTGGATGCTGTCTGTTATTCCATTACTCGGTGCTTATATTCTAGCAATGCTAAGCTCTCAAGGATTTAACCTCTCCTTTCAGAAGACAAGAACACGGTCTATCTTGCTAAATTCAAGAAACTGTTCAGAAGTATCTGGGAATTAATTGTAATTAATTGGTAAATGGTCCTGGATTTTTTTTTTAATGAAGACATCCCTTCTATAAAAGATCATAGCTGTAGCTCTCAATGAGTACTGCTCTGCAGGTTTGTCTGCTACTGAAACACTTGTCTTATTCTATGTCAGAAGCAGAGAGCCTCTCTTAAGTACCCTTCTCCTGGACTAAAAATAGTATATGTGTTACTGTGTCTGATGGGAATGCCCTTGACCATGGCTAAGATTTTTTTGCTTCAAATCACTTCTGTCCCTGATTATATGAATAGTGAAATTCCTGTGGAGCAAACATTTTTTGAATGGTGCATAGACTTGAGGGAGATGGGTGCTGCATAAAGCCTTGGTGGAAATATTTGCACAACACCATTTGTAAAGGATTAAATATGAGCAGAGAACAGAAAAAGTGACAAAAATTATTTAATGGGTTGCAGTTGCGAAGAAGCTCAAACATAAGATACAGACTGATTCATAGCTCCCCAAAATTGTCTATAAAGGTAAGGCAGGCTTCTGACAATAGTCATCTGACTTAATCAGATCAAGGATCTAAGCATTACAGCAAGACAGGTAAACCAGAACAGTCATTACTATTTAGAGTTAAGATAAATAGCCATCAGGCCAGTGTGTTGGTTGTGCACCACTAAGTTGGGTTCAGAGGACTTTCTAGCTGAGCTCATGGCTTGAACAAAGAAAAGGCTTGATTGAAGAATGGCTATGTGACACTGGCTTCTGCATCATGGGTTCAGATTAGATGACCTGCTGGCTTGGAGCTATTTATTTAGCTGTTTTTACAGTGTTTACAAGGAGCACCTGGGTGCAGCCAGGATTTGGAGCCTTGCCTCGTGCTATGAGTGCAGGCAGTAGCTCTGCTGCCTGCCCATGCCCTCAGCAGTGCTATTAAAAAACTGAATATGTTTTTTCTTCTCTCATAGAAGTATTGCTTTGAATGCAGGAGTAATGTTTTTCTTCCCTTCTGCTCTCTGCCCTTCATTATGGAAGGAGCCAGGAAATATCTGTGTGATGGAATAGGAGTCAGTTACTAAACTTTTCATCTGAACAGCACTGAGAGGTTAGTCTGAGTGTTGCTGTTCCTGTGCTCAGCCCAGTGCTTGTCCAAGGTGCTTTCAATCCTTTCACAGCAAATTACTTCGTTCTATAATTCGTTAGAAACTGGTTTCAGACATCACAGAATTGCTGTTTTGCCCTGTTTTCTCTGTCATATATGTGCATGCAATTTCTCTCGCTTCCACTTTATCTTTCAGTAACAACCCCTTGATCCTCCTTTGTCAAATAGCTGTGAAGGCATGCTGCTTACTGCTTACTTGTTTAGAAGTCTTGGGAATCTGATTCTGGTATTGCCAGTGAGGCACTGGGAAAAAACCAAACAATGGCCTCTTTCCCCTCAGGAACTTAAGAGGCAGAGTCATCTGTCAGAGACTACTCTTTTAATGTTTTCATATTATAATGACTTTGAGAGCAGGTATTTAATCATATGGCTAATATATTAGCTGCTGTTTGATTTCACACATGGTAATGGCAGGGTAGAGTGGAGGAGCTGCTGCTACACTTTTAATTTGGGCAGTTGTGGTAGAACAATCTTTCTTGAGTTTGTCTCTCATGCTTTTCATCCTTCAATTGAGACACAGGTGAAATGTCCTATCTCTCTGTGAAAAATAAGAACAATGTCCTCCTCTACAATCAGGGATTTGGCCGCTTGCAGTGCTTTAAACTGCAATTAGATTTTTTTTTTTTTAAGTGTAGATGTTAATGGGGAATCTGAAGACCTTAAATGATTGACAAGTTTTGTTTGCCTGATTTCCTATTATGTAACTTAGTGTTCAGCAGTTGGACAGGTGTATGTTAATTTGAGATGTCAAATTCTGTCATGTGCCTTTCCAGCAGTCATGGGCGTTCTATAGCTGCAGCTTGGTTAACAATCAAGTGTGTTTAGTATATAAGATTGTATTTCCTCTGACAATACTTAGTTTTAGGAGACTGAGAGCCAAAAAAGTTAAACACATTTTTTTCTATCGTGTATTTTGATAGTCAAAATTGACTCAATAACTGAAGATTATATCTGTGCAGTAAAGGATGTGTCATCCTTACACAGTTACTCTTCTGATTCTAATAGTATGTAAAATTTTAATACTGTTGGAGTGAGATTAGAATAAGGTTGAATTTTGGGTTGAAGATTTAAATTTTATTTAGAAACAAAAGCTCAAACCTAACATAATTGGGAAAATTTAAAGTAAGACCCCACACTGTCAAGATTCCTTATTATAGGTGCTCTGAAATAGTCAACATTTTAAATTCATTTAAATACAGTGTTTAGAAATGGTACTGGATCACCTATTGCCTTTACATTTCTTCAATGTCATACCAGTGCTATGCAACTGATGAAAAGTACACCTTTCCTCCCCAGCCTTTAAACTGCAAACTCTAGGCTGTAGGCCACTGTTATGACATCTAAATATACTGAGACCTGGTCAGGTATCATGGTAAAAGGTCTCATCTCTCAACATGAAGACATTAAGAAAAAACAACTGCAGTGATTTTTTGAGGTTTCTGAAGTGTCCATTCTTCATGGGTAGCTATCTAGCCTTTAGGATAAGGCCAGGTAAGATTTAATTGCAGCTGTTATCCGTATTAGGGAAGTCCTTTGGTGCTGCAGTGGAACATGTGCTTATGGTTGTTGTGAAAGTGCTGTCAATTTCAGATTTTTTTTTTAATTTATTTTAATGGCAGCATGGGGGAGAAAGGGCCATGGGATACCAGTCCAAGGAAGATCAGCATTCCTTAGCCCAGTTATTTACAAAATTACTTCACTTTTATGGATGTAGTGTACTTGGCTTGCATAAATGAGTGTATGTAACTGGTAGCTCTCCATTGAGATGCATTGCATAACATACTCTTAGTTAATGCATCTCTCCTAAATTTATGTCAATATGTTTTTTTGGACTGCTCTGCCATGTACTTTGTTATTTTTCTGAAGGCTTGGTTGAAGGACTATGTAGTCACTAATACTTGAATTTTTTAAATGCTAGGTACACTAGGTTTTTTTTATATAATGTAATATGGAATGGTCTTGCCTTAAGAATTCAAGACCCTATCCTGGAATTTAGCTTTATCCCTGGGTAGGATTTTTACAATTAATGCTCAGGTGCAAAGGCAGCTTCTTGTGCTATTGGGAATGCAATGTTGTCTGTGTGATCAGCAAAGATAAATACTGAACACAAATCCAAGCAGTTCCATCACATTTGTTTTCAATGTTCAATTGATTAGATTGACCAATAAGAAATACTTTCTAACTTGATTACTGCTAATTACAGTCACAGTGCTTTTGAGTAATTTGCAATCAATTTTGTGATATATTGAAAGAATAAAGATGGAACTGCAGATAGCAGTGATACTGTAATAACATGGGTACATTTGGCTGCTAAAAGGGAATGCTTGAGGTAAAATTATTAATTTGCACTTTACTAAAACCCAAGATACATACCATGTACTGTGTTATAATTGATCTTAGATAATGTTTTATGTGATATTCAAAGCCTTTTTAAAAAACTATCATTAAGTCTCTGAACAAATTTTGCTACCTTAGGACATTGAAGCCAGCTGTCAGCAAGGGGGAATGACTGATTTAGCTCTGAAGGATCCCTAATGAAGGGAACCACACAAACACCCCAGCACTCACTCCTCTGTGTGAAGAAAACTGGAATGAGAAATTGGCTTCAGTGAACTTTTTTGGGAAAAGAGAGAAAAAAGACAGTATTAATTTTACAACTGAAATAAAAGACTGTTTCCGAAGTAGTCTCATTTCATGGCTTTTTTCAGAAATGTGTTGAAGGAGCCATCTCTAGCTTATAGTAACATAGGCATTTCTATACCATTTGAAGATACTGATGTGCACACAGCCACAGCTGAAAGTGTGTTTGCTAGAACGGATTTTGGAACCTGTTAGTACTTACACAGATGCCTATATGATGATAATTTACTTTTGTCTCAAGGGATGTCAAAGGCATCCTGAGTTTCATCCAAATGCCGAGCACTCTGAAAACTGAGGTAAAGTTTGTTTTTTATTGGATTTGCTAAGCTAAATGAAACTATATGAAACTATAGTGCTGCTGAACTAATACCCACATAGATGTTACTAATACCAGTCTGCTGGATCAGAATTTATCTCTCTTTAGGGGTTCCATATCTGAACTAGTAATTCTGGTGCCTTTCTGTGGTAAAGGAAGGAAGTGGGCAACTCTAGATGTCTAGAGCTTTAAAGTTAAGCAAGATAGATCTTAAATTGTGTACCTTTTGACTTATTAGAGCATTCATTAGATATTCTAAAGTACTTGTCAATATATCAGTACCAAGCATATTGTATCTTGCTCCTGCTGTGTAGTTTGACATGGTAATAGGACAGGGTTTCAGTCTATCTGAAGAAGGTTTGTTAACAACAAATCAGTATTGCGTTTTTTTCGGCCATATTTACTGGACAAAATACTCCTGAAATACCTGCAGATGCTGCTCTGAAGCAGCAGCTATGGAATTTGGGACCAGGTGGCCTTTCCATAACCCAGCTGGGATGCAGTGGACAACTATCGAATAGCAAACAGTAAATGGAATTTAGCAGAGGGTGGAATGAGCTGAGACACAACTAAAGTGCTCTCAGATGACTACTTGTAACTTCTTTTGCTGCCTGAATTTCAGCTAAAGGAGTTGGAGTATGAGAAATAACATTTCTTTGGGGTGGGGCAGAGGTGAGGGAAGAAAAGGTAACAATATCAAATATAGTCTTCTGTGAGACTTCCTTGCTCTGCAGCATATGTTTCTGATGTGCCTGGGTTGGGACTTCCAATGGGATGCTGAATTATAAAAAAAAAAAGTGGTTGATGATAGTGAGAAATGAAATGCCTGCTCTTTGTTTTATTAAACAGGTGCAGTGCCATACCTACACTGGATACTGCTGGTGTGTGACACCTGATGGCAAGCCTATTAGCGGCTCTTCTGTACAGAACAAAACTCCTGTATGTTCAGGTACTGTGGGAGTGGCTTCAACAAATACTAATTCTATAACTGAAGAGGGCTGGGGTAAATGCATTCTGTTGAGAGAGCTTAGTCTTTTCAGGTGACTTGTGCAGTTTACCCCACTTAACACTGCAGTTTGGACTCTGCCATGACCACCCTCTGGTTAGCATACAGACACTTGCAAGGCTCAGTGAGAAAAACCACTGAGGTAACAACCTGTGGCAACAAAGACAAGAGTCGGTGTTGCTGTGTACACCAAACCCAAACACTCATGTAACGGATGGGATAATTTTTTTTCCATGCACTATATTTTAAAGAAATGGTATTTTGTGGGGCATGGAGTAATTTTTTGTAGAGTGATTTCAGTTAATTTGGTTTTGTGAGAAACTCATAGTTTCTGAGGTTCTGCTGTTCTAACGAGTTTGGGTCTTTTGATCGTGGTGCTTACTTTAGAATGCCTTTGTGTTATGAGAGTGGACAGCATTGATCTTGCACCACAGGTCACAAGAGAGAGATCCAGATCCAGGCTGCTACTCATGTGTGTATTAAGTGATGTGCTTCCAGGCACTTAGCGTGACGTTACTGTGTCACCCTGTTGTGTACTGAGACAAAATCCACAATTTTCCTTAAAACAGAGTAATGCTGGTTTTCTTTTTTCTCCCCACAATTCATTAGGGTAACCCATGGCTCAAATGGAATGGGATTGGTTTCTAGATTTTCATATGGCCCTGATCAGTAGTGTACAGGCTAGCTTTGTGAGCTGTGGTGAACAGTGCTGCTGTGGCAACACCAAACTAGACACAGTGTCTTCTTGGCTGTAAGGTGTTTTGGGGTAATAAGCAAACGTAAGTGACTTGCATAAGGGTTTGAGTTGAGTGAAAGAGCTTTCTGAGAACTAGTGAGTCCATGTAGCTTAAGAAAGTACTTGGTTTTTCACAGGCATGTAAAAATAAAAGAAGATTAAAATCCTATTTTAGTGTAAGGTCAAATGCTACAGTAAATTGACTTAAACCTTAGAATATGACTTGGACACCATTCTCAGCATATCATTTTGGTAGGGCATGTTTTATAGTTTTGCTGATCTGTTTGTTTAGCCTTGTGCTGTTTATAAACTTGTATTACAGGAAACTAAAGTCATGTTGTATTGTAGGACATGGATGTTAGGTCTGTGATGACTAATACTGGGTTTGGGCTTACTACTTGTAATCCAGCAGTAGATCTGTGATGAACTGATCTGCAAGTGAAAGTTCCTGGGAAATAGTTTACCTTTAGAGTTTGTCTTGACCAGATTCTTGGGCCTGTCAGAGCTGTCTTCTTTAGAGGTGACTTTTGATCCATGTTTCATGAAGGTTTAGTAATCACTGGAACTGTTTAATAGTGGTGCATGGAAGAATCAGTTTCCTGGGAATAAAGCTATTGAAAAACATAATCTTGTCATAGATTATTATACACTTTGGTAGTGGATTTCTGTTCAAGTTTTACTAGAAAACTAGGAAGAAGCACTAAAACAGATTGCAGAAACAAGCATAGAACCATATATTTTATGTGAAGATCTAAGTTATAGTAGGCAACCCAAGATGTGTTCTATTCAAGTACATGCTGGATCTTGTTCAGTGTCCCCTTTAAAACAGCTGGGCATGTTCAGGGGTTGGTTAAAATTAATTTTCTGCAAATTGTCCCACTTAATCCCTTTCCTTTAGAATGTACTTGCATTCCCTGCACATTCTCCTCATGTGTCTTTGATTTGTTCTTCCTGACATTTGCAAATGAAAGAAGTGACTCTTACTGATCTTTCCTTCTTGCCTTGAATTTATTTCAGGTTTCTTACTAGCACATTTCTCTGAGCTCTTTCAAATCACTAGACCCAGCTACTAGAGATTTCTTATTTACTTTCATCCCAATTTAACATCGTTACACATTAAACTTACATTTTTCGCATTGGTTGAAGCAACAGGCTTTTTGACTCCTAAATGGAACTGTTGACAAGGAAAACAGATGCTTTATGTGTTGAGATATTGACTGTATTAATGTGACATCATATGCTCTGTGTGATCATTCAGCATCTAAATCGATGTCCTTTTTTTTTTTTTTGTTCCCTCCCCTTCAGGTTCTGTAACTGATAAACCATCAAGCCAGGGTAATTCAGGAAGGAAAGGTGAGTGAAGTCCTGTGCTTCAGCAACTTGTTTTGTAATAGCAGCTGCCCAGCCAAATCCCTTAGGATAGCTCAGAACCCGGGTTCCTCATCAGTCAGTGCATGGGAGGCACATGTACAATTAGACCTCCTCTTCAGGAGGAGGAATGAGATGACTGTTCTGCTCCCTGAGGAGTAGAAAAGGGTGTGCTCTGCCCTGTGCTTGTCAACTGAGTTGTAGTACAAGACAGCTGAGCTTCCCAAAGGGTGGGTGGCTGGCCTAGAGTAGCCTCTGCTTGTTCACTTTGAAGTAACATACTGAGCATTTCTCAGTAAAATCCCTAGAGATTCAGAAGGCTGTCAATATGACCGGTACTCTGGGAGTCAAGAATGCCGATATCACGGTTGTGGTTTTGTATGTACTGAAAACAGCACACAAATCCCTCTGGCAAGCTGGAGCAGCGCCGGATTAAACTTTGGCTGTGCTTGGAAACCTCACTCTTCTGTGCATTAGGCACTGGTCCTGCTTTGCTACTGTCGTCAGTCCTTGCCTTTCCTGTGCAAGGCATTGGGTGGGTCCTTGTTCTTTTGCTGTGACTATTTTAGCTCTTGTGTCCTCTGGTTTGTATTCATTGTAATAGTTTTGGGAGGGTTGACCACTGTGTGAGTGTATGTGTATACACACAGGAGCAGTGAAATTTGTCTTTAGACCTTCTCCCCACCCTGATATTCAACATTTCTTCCCTCTATCCCTGATTCAGAGTCAACTTTTGAGTTTGTCTCCTTACTACAGGAAAACAGTGCTGAATGCATCCTCACTCCTGCTGGTGAGGATGAATGCTATTTCTTGGGAGAAGTACCTGTTTTGATAACTGAAGCAGGATTTTTAGTGGTAACTCTCTAAACCTATTCTTCCTGAGACTTCAACCCTAGGAAAATGCCAATACTTTAATTTGAGGAACATCTTCCATGCTGGGAACGTCAATCCGGTCCTGAAGACACGTAAGAGGGATTAGCTTGCTATGTTCAGAGCAGTTATGCATATCTGCTCTCCAGTCTATTGTTTGTGTATAGTAGTCTAGGAAAAGGTAGGGAGAAGAAAGATGCAAGGAAAACTACTTAGTTAATACTAAATGCTGAAGTCTCTTTCTCACTTTTGATACATGTTAATGTATAATTGGCTTCTGAATCCATTGTTATTCTGCTAATGCAATCATTGATAGACTAGCCTGAAGTACAAGCAAATCAAGTAGCTCTTGAAATCTGCATTATTTTTGAGTGGAGGCTGTTTGTAGGCTTTTTACCTGAATAGTCCTGGTCTATTATTCTGGATTTGAAAGCAGCTGACATTGGATTTCACAAGAAACAAAACATTTGAACTTGTTTTTTTCTCATCACTCCCTTTATTAAGTTTGAGCTTAGAGCATGCAAAAAGAGAACTGTAAATGGTATAAATTGATCTAAAATTTGTAACATAAATTGACTCTCCTTAGTGCAGCCTGTAGCATCTTATTTCAAGGATGGTGTGCTTGGTCATATGGCTGCAGAAATGCCCTATGCAGTAGCTGTCAAAAGGAAAATGCTTCCCCTTGGGCCAGCGTGCTTCAAGCAATCATGTAAATTTTCTGTCCCCTCCAATTCTGAATTTGTTCATGGCTGTTGGAAGCCTACACACAAGCAAGTATGGCCCTTTTCCATCATGTTAGAAAAACACTTATGAGCTGTTATTAAACAAGCCTTTTAAAATCAAGAGGGCTTTTAGAAGCTGTAATAATTGGGTTTAAAATTTGATGGACTTAGCATTACTTTTTCAGCTAGTGATGAATAACTAATCTAAAAATGAATTTGGCTTTCTTGTCAGTGCTTTTTCTTGACTTAAGTTACTTCGATTCAAAATTCCAGATCAGGTCCTGTTCTACAGAAGTTGGAACCAAGAACAGCCTGACTTCCTTGAAGCAAGGTGGTTGCTGCAGGTCTGGCTTCTCTGAAGACTGGTGGCTAGCCAGCATGCACGTAACCATCTGTTCTATCTGAGTGTTCAGACAGCTTTTGTAAAGATACTTTTGTAAAGATAACTCCTTGCAAAATGACAAAAAGGGCAGGACAAGGAGGGGTCCAGCAGGAACTAGGTCAGTGATGACCTTTTTGTTGTAGAGGCACAACTTTGAAGCTTCTGATATCTCTTTGGGCAACTACCATCTGACTTGGGAGCTTTTAGAATTTTCCCACTGCACAGTAGACTCCCCTTTCCATTCTTGGATGAGGGTCTCTTAGTCAAAGGGCATTATCTAGCACAGAATAGGTACTCTGAAGAGGAAAAGTAATAGACTTTCAAAAGACTCTCAAAAGGGATTTCTTTTGTCTCATTCATACAGGAATGTAAAATATGGAGCTAATAAACTTTGTGTGATGCTGGTGCCTTTGAAGTCTTCAGGGCAAAAATAATTTTCTGGATAGAGGCTTCTCTGCTTTAGAAATAGTGCAGATGGATGGGCTTAAGTTACTGGGTAATAAGGGAAGACTTTACTAGCCTATTAGCTCTCCTTTAGAAGAGGGAAATTAGGTTGGAAGGAGGAAAAGGCTGGTTATTGGTATTAAGTCTTTCTCCAAATGTTTTGGCCTCTTTTCCATCCTGTTTAGCTGTAATTTTGGGGGGTATGATGGAGTACCAGAAGATGTGAGATAGCATGCAATTCCACTCTCAGGCTCTCTCACTCCTGATGAAAAGAAAATTAAATTGCTCTATGGTCATGTGGCTTGGCATGTACTTCCAGAAGTGGCTCTGTGGAGCTCTCTGCAGAGAACAAGCAAGTATGCTGGCAAGAGATACATTTTATTTTTAAATTTCATGCGATGGTTATCCATATTTACATTGCTGCTATTGCTGTATGATGCAACGCCAGTTACTCATACAATTTGCCCTGTAAGGTAATTTAAATTAAATTGGCACCAAAGTTAAAATTTTAAAATAGCAGATATTGATTTGTTCTGTTCTGAGGAGCACTTTGTTGCTGAAAGGCAGAGCAGGCATGGGGAGATGGAGACATGTTTGCATGAGGTGGAATAGAAACTCAGGCTCTCCAGAGTATGTTTGTTGTGTGGACTTTGCAGCTCAAACATTTACCACCATTCTTTCTATGCTGAATTCAGTCTACAAGTGAAGAATGAGCTCCCATGACCTTTGTCAGGGAATACAATTACTTTTGTGTGGATTAGGGTATCCAAAACTTGCAAATTTCTGTTGCTCTTCTTTGTTCCGACTTGCAGTCGTTTCTCATAAGGAACTTCTTGCATTAATTTGCTCCAGTTGCTGCTTAGTTTGAAAGGCCAGAGACTCTTGGAAAATGCATGCTGTCCTCTAGAGGTCTGGATCTCCCCAGTCTCTCCCACTAGGATGTTGTTAATGTTTTTAAGCAGCAGTGAAAGGCATCCTTAGAGCCAACATGACTGGATTTCTTCCTTGCCTAAAGAATGCAGAATGTTCCTTTACAGCCAAAGGGAAATTGTGCCACCCTTTTGAAACAAAAGAAAAAAACCATGAAACAAAGAAAATAAAAACTTTATCTGTGGAGTTCTAGGACTTTTACTTAAAGCTACAGATTTAGCATATTGCAGTAATGAGTGGTATCTTTTACAGTCACCAAGAAGGTTTTAAAAAGTAGGCTGGTCAGGAATCAGAGGGATGTAGAAGAACAGCCATGCAATTGCTTATCTCGATCAAGTCACTTGGTCTTCCTTCTGGAAGAAGGAATTTATTCAGGTGGGGATGCTGGTTTGTTGGTGGTTGTTAACTATTCTGGGCCCTATGTGAGAGGTACTGATACCATTTTTTAAATCAACTGAAGGAAATGGGAAAGGTGGCCTGGTTCTATAAACTGAGATTTAAAGAGGGTGCAACTACAGGGTAAATTTGGGCTGGAATAACTTTCAGTGTCAGTCATGAAGAGTCTTGAGTGGTATGAATTCCCTTTTTCTTTTATGAAGTCTCTTGCAGTGCATTAAGTTCCAGGACTGTTTTGACTTGTCTTGTTTCCCTACTGCAAGAGGTGGCAATAGCATCAGCAGTTCCCTGTACAGTTGGTGAAATGTAAGCTCTGATGGACCCACAGAAAGCAAAACCCAGGTTGAACTTCTTGTACATGTACTATCTTAACAAGTAGACAAGACTCTTGTATGGAGCTGCAAAAATCTCTCCTCAATATGTTTGCAGCCTAAACTGAGACTGGCTCAGTTGGTTAGAGCATGGTGCTAATAATGCCAAGGTTGAAGGTTCTATCCTAGTATGGGCTATTTGCTTAAGAGCTGGACTTGATGATCCTTGTGGTTCCCTTCCAGCTCAGGTTAGTCTGTGATTCAAAACAGTGAAGCAGTTTGAGAAACCTAAGATGAGCAATTTGAAATTCCAGCCAATTGAACATGTAGAATTGGGTTCCTTTTTATGGATCTGACTGTCAGAAATTAGTTTCAAGGCAGGCTTTGTTGGCAAAGAAATTCTGGGCTGCAGTTGTGGGCAAGTTGGCCCGTTCTGTGGCTTTCTTTTTTTTCCAAGAGTCTTATCTCTAGAAAACGTTAATGGCCTAGTTTTGCAGCCAATAGACTGAGCAGTCTGAATCAGTAATGAACCATTAGTCGGAGTCAGTAATTAGGCTGAGCAGTAAAGGGTGAACACTTTCCTCAGGCAAACCCAAGTGAAGGATGGCTTGTGCTAGTGTAAACAAATGGAACTGCTTGTACCTGGGGACCTGGAAGCTTTGTTTGCTGCTGTTAAGAAGTCAAGTGCAGCTGGCATTAATTCACCTGCCATCAGTCGCAGGGAGGGGAGGACACTTCCTCCACAGTGGTTAGTGTGTCTCACAGAAGACAGATAATATCTTGACAAAAACATCATATTGAAATGTGACTAAAACCTGAGACTGGGGCTTTGGTCTTTACCTTCTCCAGATCTTTCTGGATTCATCTAGGTACTGACCAAATCTGAAATGCAGCCGTGCTATCACACAAACCAAGTTTCAAATGCCCAAT